GCTCTAAACTTTGCATTTATTAGCATTGCGACTTTTATCACTTGGAGACGTTTGCGTGCGTTTTAGCGAGCCTCTTCACCATGGCTGCCGACCAGAATGTTGTTTATGCCAAACCCCTCCCCCGCGTAATCAGGAAACAGCTACGGCGAGCAGTGATCGTGACAAATAGTGAGTGAGGAGTGTAAAGCTTGGTTTATGCTTGACGCGTCCGCGAGGTTCGCAGGGCTCCGCTCGGCAAAATTGCGTCATTTTAACAACCACGCCCCTCCACCGCGCCTCCGCACGGCCCTAACTGTCCGCACTGCACACCTAGGAAATTTTCTAACTACGCGGAAAAACATGGCGGACTGGCAAGAACTAGTATGGCAGAGGTTCGTAAATACAGACATTTGTATGATTCAGCTCTCAAAGATCACCGTGATCAACATGTTGTTAATAATTCTTGGAGAGAAATAGCTCGCACTGTCGGAAAAGACGAGGACGCTGTTAAAAAATGCTGGAATGCCATGTTATAAACAACAGTAATTTTTACTTCTACTATGGTGTAGTGTTGGATGCATGCCGTAGTGCTCCATGCTGCCCCCTACAGTTTGGGAGAATATTGGCTCACCGCAGAGACAAGCCGCATGAACCATAAACGCTGCAAGTTGTGAAGCGCGTTCCATCCGCAAGCCGCATCACCGAGTGGAAAGTAAACGCGTCAAGCACAAACCAGGCTTAATACTGACTAGAGAATGCGTGAGATCAGGATGCATCATGAATTTAGCTTAATATGATAGATTTTTTTTCTCTGGACAAGAAATAATTACTGGTAATAATGTGGATGACAGAATATGAGCCACCTTTAGATAGAATTGAAATTATTTTACATTATTTCTAAATATATAATTAAATGAAGGTGCCTGTGGGACATTTGAGACACGCATCTCTAGCTCTCAACTGTAGATAGATAGAGATAGAGAGAGAGACAGAGAGAGAGATAGAGGGGGATACACAGAGAGGTATAGATAGATAGATAGATAGATAGATAGATAGAGGGGGATACACACAGAGAGAGAGATAGATTGATAGATTGATTGATTGATTTTAAATATATGTATTTTAATGGTAACTTCCAAAATGTCTGAATTGTTAAAATATAAAAAATTATCATGATAAATCGTGATTTTGCAAAAACAAAATCGTGACATGATTTTTTTACCTTGTCGCCCACCCCCCAGTGCACATACTGATCAACTTACTGTGTGTGACTCGTCTTCGCGTCTGGTGCTGATTCGTAACTCACGGAGTGAGAAAGTGATTTTTTTGTTCAGAAAAATAAAATTAAATTAGACCACAGCTTGTCATTCTTATCTCATTCTTACATATTGCATCATTAAATACTCAAATTAAAATTAAATGTATTGTTGAATATGTACAGTCATTTTTAAAATGCAACATTTACACACAACATTACTTTGGTATTACATAGAAACAAATGTTAAAAGTAAATCCTGTGTGAGTCAGGGCCAAAGGTGACCCTGATTATTTCCCCAGGATATAAATAAGTGAATCTTGTGGTAAATAAACTATAGTCATTCCTGTTGAAACTGCTCATCAAACCATCAGAAAGATACAAAGTTTATTAGTCTCCAGAGGGACTTTACACCACCCACACAGTTGTATCAGTTTCCTCTGGGAAAATTTTTTTTTTCAGCAAAGCCCACACTCCTCTTCTTCTCTCTGCTGCCAAATTATCATAGAAAATTTTATTTTTGTTCTGTTCTCTGATCTTCCACAGTGGCTCTGAAAGTTGCTAAAATCACTGTTTGATACATCGTGTTAGCATTGCAACACACACACACACACACACACACACACACACACACACACACACACACACACACACACACACACACACACACACACACACACACACACACACACACACACACACACACACACACACACACACATTATAAACATCAAATCCTTCAAAAATAACCTTCCAGAAATCAAATAGTTAGAGAATTATCTTAAACACTTTTGGTCAATCTCATGTAAACATAACGAGTCTTTTTACCTGATAAAAGATGATACGACTTATAAAGAGTTGAAAACAAAATGGTGTGTTTTATTTATGGATACGATGATTAAACTAAGCTGGAGGTGTTTTTCTTTCGTTTTGGGTTTTTTTTTTTGCAGTAGCCCTTCCTTTTTATTTATTAGTTTATTTTTATTTTCTTGCAGTGTCTGTATTAGCTGCCAGGCTTTTCATACATCTCCTTTGAGACTTTGAGCCACAGACTCCAGACTTGGAAAGCCTCCTTGTTTTATTGTGGTTCACCCAACAGATTTTAAAAGTGATAAAGATCTTGACATCGCCAAAAGCATTTCTGTATGTTGATATTATTTTCTGTTGACCATTTCCTGACCATTGCTGCTGCGTATTTTCAATCACCATCTCTACAGAAGTTGCGAAGCTGCCGTTTGTCTGGCAGAAAACAGTCTTGTTCTGAGCTGGTCTCCATTTTTGCAGTTCACCAATGTCCTGTACTTTGAAACCCATAACTTGAGTATTAGAAGCTAACCGTTAGCATTAGCAACTTCACAACACAGCAGAAATCCTTCAGGCTTGAGCAATTTATGTAGATAAATCTTCAACATTGCAAAGAAAACTGAGTCAATGGTAGAGTCGTGTTGCTGTTATCCAATCAGAGGAGAGATTATGAGGAAGGAGTAACGAGTAACACTCATTTATTGTGGTTGTTGTATGTTTTAGAGAGCGAACATCTACCAAAGACAAATTCCTTGTAAATGTAATTTTACTTGGCCAATAAATCTGAAATCTGAAATCATGATCCTGCGGTTTGAAGCTCCTCTATATTCCCCGGCTAACCTCTACTTCCTGAAACAGGAGAGCCCACAGAGATCGACTCACAAGGCCTTCCCCAGCAAACATTCGGGCCGACAAGTCCCGTCATGGTTGAAAAATAGTTCCAAAATGAAAGTTGAACCGACAACTTTTCTGGACGTGAATTACACATAACAATTATACATGTAACTACAAATCAGAGTGGATTTTAAGGAAATGTTATGTTAATTTATTTTTAAAATTTGGACCGTGCACTCTCTATTGGACGCTCCTGTAGATAAACCTTACATAAACAAGCGCGTGTACACACACAGGTGCTCACATGGTGCTCTCAAAAGTATGGACTTGGGCACGTTCAACACAGGTCTGAAGACTATAGTGGGCACTTAATGCACTGTGATTTATTATCGTGTGACTGTTCAGTTAAACAATGTTGATTATATATTTCTTCATCAAGTTGACGCAGTGATAGCTTGATCTTGTTGTATTGTTGTTGTGTCCCATATATATATATATTTTTTTTGCTTTTTTTCTTGTCTCTTTCTGCAGGTCTAGAAGCAGACTCTTGTTCATTATTGTTTATTTTTGTGGACTCCCACCCCCCTCCCCCTTCCCCCCTCTCTCCCCACCTTTTGTCTTTTCCTTTCTCTTTCACCTCTGACTCCGTGTCTGGTCAGAATTACAAAGCATTCAAAAACAATAACAATAAAGTTTTAAGTATCAGGGGTGACATTAAAAGCAGACGCTTTGATGCTCCACCTGAGAGTAAATCTGTAAGACTTGTTACCAGCATTCAGACATCAATTCTGTTTGCTTCACAGCCAGACAGGACATGGTAAAAATAAATAAATAAATAAATAAAATAAAATAAAATTTGGACCGTCCTACCGCGACCATTTTTGGCCGTGGACAGGACGTTGCCATCGGACCAATGTTTGCTGGGCTGCTATGTTGAACTACACGTAACTAATTGTCAAAATAATCATACATATAACTGTAGGCATGTACAAATGTATTTGAATTAATTTTTAAGACTTGTTCTGCTATTTTATTTTTTTTTTTTTTACAAATTCGGGCCGTCCGACCGCGAACATTTTTGGACGTGGACACCACTTCGGCGTCGGACCAATGTTTGTTGGGTCATCTATACTAGAGACCACTGCAGATGTGTTGAAAAAAAATGAGTGAACTTGGTCTTTAAGCAGTTGTAAACAGTAAGGATATTTTTGAGTCCCACTATGGAAGCATGCAGTGTTCAACACCACAGAACGATAGTCAATGTAACATCTGTCAGTTGTTTTTAGATAAATATTTATTGAAATTTGGTCCTGTGTTCTGCCCAACAGCAACACAATGTTGGTAAACTGATTTGAGTCGCACTAAGCTTCGAAGAATACCGCTGCAGTTTTCCATTTCAATTCAAAGCCTTTTTTATCAGTCATCTCCCAAATGTCCCAGTCTCCCAAATTGAACTAACGTTTATTGGGTTAATGGTGCAAAAATCATTTTAAATGATTAATCAAATAGGACAGTTCTCCTTTAACATCTGGATGTGTCGAGAACCACATTAACAAGAAGGTCCACAGGTTACAGTGATTAGCTAGCTGCAAATCCTCATCAAAAGCCTGTTTGTGTAGTCCTGAGTCAACACTGCACAGCTTCCACTTAAGTCTACACAAAGCAATTACTCCAATCCTCAGGTGCACGTGGAACAGAAGAGGACATGCTTACTGTGACACACAACAGATTTTAGCAGGTTATGAGTGCCAGTGGACGTTGTGATAAAAATAAAATAATATTCCGAGGTAGATTTGACGGAAGACACCACAGCTTACTCATTATGCTTCACACTTGGGATGAGTTTTTCAACTCAATTTACAGCTTACACACTCATGAAGTCATTATCCCAAATATAGCCATCATGAAGCAGAAGTCTAAATAGTGTGTGATGTATTTTGTTTCTCCAACGAGAGGACAGTGAGGAAAAGCTGCTAATCTTATTCAGCATGACTTTTAGTCATGTTTTCTTTTTCTATTTTTTCTCTCCCTTCTTTCTGTTTCTCTTTTTATTTTTAATGCCATTAGTGAATTTCTCACTCAGTATGGATTATTGTTGTGTTGCTCTGCTCTCCTCCCCTCCCTTTAGGTGACCGAAACAAGGACGGGCCCTCTCGGATGCAGTAACTATGACAACCTCGATTCTGTCAGCTCTGTTTTGGTTCAGAGCCCCGAAAACAAGATTCATTTGCAAGGTTGGCCATCCATAATTGAACCCCCCCAATTTCTGATGGAATTGTTACAGTGTCTGTTCTCTGGCAAGCTTATAACTACAGCATGAGAGTGTCAGAACGAATTTAGCTTCAATCACTCTTTTTTTTTCTCCCCACTTTTTTCCTTTTTTTTGCATTGCATGCTTGCAGAGTTCTGAAGTGAATCCCGGGCAGCGATGATTCAGAACAAAAGTAACAGAACTCAGGAGTAAAAATAAAACTTGGAGTGAATCTCTGCATATTGCATGTGATGCCAAGCATACGTGTGGTGAGACAGAAATCGAATTCCAGCCTTGAGTGTTTTACCGTACCAGCCCTTCACACTGTAGCCAGCTACGCACTCACTATGCTATGGACAAAGACCTTACTGTATGTGCAGCTTCTACTTCATCTTCCCCTGTTTCTGCTTTCGTCTCAGGCCTCCAGGCCATACTGCCCGACTATCTGAAGGCCAGGTTTGTCCAGGCTGCTCTCAGCTACATTGGCTGTAATGAGGAGGGGCAGTTCGTGTGCCGGGACAACGACTGCTGGTGTCAGTGTGCCGTCGAGTATCCACATTGTAATTGCCCTGAGGTAGACCTGAGGGCCATGGAGGCCAGTTTACTGCAAATCCGAGATTCGTGGAACACGGCCAACCATGACTTTGAGGGATCAGGTCAGTACTTCACTTTGTGCACTTATTCTTTGACTTTCTTTCCGAAAGCAAATGTATTATTGTGTCCTAGTCATGATGGGGTGAAACACAAAGGAAGGTGCCTTGGAAACCATTTTAATTGCAACATTTCTGTTCGTGTTTGCTTTATTGAGGCATTTCTTCAGTGTTTGGTCTGTTGAAATCAAATTCTTTCTTGGTGCAGTTTGTTTGTGCAGATGTGAATGCAGCAGTTGCATTAAACTGACCCTATGCAGGGTTTCCCCCCGAAAATGAGTTAAGCCAGGCTTATAAAGCGCTGGGGGAAACCCTGCTATGATAAAAGTGGTCTTGGCCATTCCAAATAAACTCCGGTTCATACTTTGAACATGAACCAACTAGGGGTGGGCAATGTAGCCTAAAATCTATATTGCGGTATAATTTGAAAAATGTGCGGTGACGGTATATATTGCGATATCTTTTGTATATATGTCAAAAACGACTGTTTCTAAACACACTCACATACCAGATACATTGCAGCAGCAGAATAAACACACTTCAAACAGTATAAAATGCCATTTTAAGAAAATGTATTGTGCAAAAATCAAAAAGTTTACGAGCAATATTTAAGATGTGTAACAGATCTTTTTCCAAAACATGGAACACACCATTCTTTTAATAAAAAATAAAATTTTGGATATTTTAAATAAAAATACAAGTAAAAGTTAGCAAAACACAAAAGTTTTTAAAATAAAATGAAAAAATTCTTACCACTCGACTGACTGGGCGTTTGTTGAGGACGCAGTTTTTGGATTTCTTCGATTTCCACAACGTTGTTCGTTTTGAGGTGGTAAAACAAATGACATGTATTCCCTCTATTCGCTAATACTTTGTTCCGGCATACTTTGCAGATGATATTGTTCTGCTCCACATCCGACTCCTTAAAGTTAGTTACTCTTTTAAGTAAAAAAAATCAAATACATAATTTCACAGAATAAATTTCTGTGTCATAAATTCTGTCTAAAAATTCAGATGAGACTGTATTTCTTCCATATGTTTCCAAGTCCAGATAACAAAAAGGAAATGTTCCAAATGTTGTGAGTGGATCAACAGAGACCCCCTCCACAGCTCGGGGAGAATCTTTCATGTCCCAGAAACAAACTACGGTTGCAATAATCCGTTCACAGCAGATGATGTAACCTCTAACATAACACTTCACGGCTCAGTTGGGGCCATTTTTATCTGTTAGTCCTATTTAATGTTTCCATGACGAACATGAAAAAATCTGCATGCTACCAACAGATTTCAAACAAGCATTTGAAATTACGTTTCCATAAATAAACTGATAAACTGCCTGACGCGCCCTTCAGCCACCATGTCACATTGTGCCCTTTATGCGTCGTCTATAATTCATACTGTTAATGTTTATTGCAGCGTTTCTCTATTTCTGTGTATTGCGAATGAAACTCGGCTGCATCTGTGAGCTTGAAGTGCAGATCGCAGTTTGAGACAATTCCAGCTTCGCCCTAAGCTGTTTTCAATGCACCTTGCTGGTTGAGAGTTTTACTGCAGGCTGCATGCTCAAAAGCAACTTGATTACCAACGCTCTTGGGAATAACTTAAACAGCAAGGTGCTGTTGCAGCGCTGTATTTAATAAAGAGGAACAAGTTCCCATCAGCCCCCGTGGCTGGACTGGTACAGACGACGTTATGGTGGACATCCTCCGTCGGCAGCAGTGAGATTAATAATCACAGCTCTGATTGTTAAATGAGGTTTCTGCTGTCATCTGATGGAAGATATCATTTGCTTTGATCTCACACGGAGTGTAATATGGTTTATTAAAGAGATAGACTTTCTTCAGCTGGGTGTGTAATAGAGGCTTTAATCTGTTTTTCTGGTGGTTCTATTTATAACACCATGATGTGGAGGAGCACAAATAACATCAACAAGGGAGAATAATGTGCTGGATGGGCGAATGCATGCCAATAAAAGGTCACCCAATGTAGCTGTTTGTTGCACATTTCAACCTCCGTATCACAGATAATTAAAGTTTTTGTTGTCATTTCTTACAAAAGTTCCTATATTTATGTGATATGAATGTGTGAATTTAATCTCAGTGGGTATGGAAATAACACGCAGCTAGACATCTGCACTTATGTGAAGATATTTAGATTTTTATCTCAGGAACTTTCTCAAAAAAGCAAGCCTGTGTCATGATCCGCCCCGGCCTCCCTGACTGTGTCTCTCCTGCCCTTGATTGACCTTATTGTTCTCACCTGTCCCTCATTACTCTGCCCATGTGTTCCTGATTCCCTTGTGTATTTATACCTCCCTCCTTGTTGCTGTCTTGGTCGGATCATTGTCGTTTTGTGCATGTTCTTTTCTCCTGTCGCTCCCGTTCTACAATTAAACATAGTTTTATTTTTTCATCCATTGCCTGCTCTTCTGCCTCCTGAAACCCACCACCACGCATGGTCTGCCATCTCCACCCGCAGAACATGACAGCCTGTTTGCAAATACACCCCCACCCTTCCTCCTGATGGTGTTCTGGTTCACATGCAAAATGCTTTGATTACATTCGTGAATGAGTGGATTTGTGGGAACCTAGAGTCATTGTTAGGTTCTGGACGTTTCAGATTATTGAAGCATCAGACCTCCCTTTTCTGTATTTTTGCTCCTCTTACTTGACCAATCGTCTCTGTCTAAAGCATGGACAGCCCTGTCCTCAGAGAAGAGTCCCTCCTCCCTGACATGTTTTTGTGTGTTGACCTGAGGAGTTGGCTCTCCTGTTTTGAGCCGTGTGTTGCTGCAGCTGCTGTTTGGCGTTTCCTGTCCTCCCACAACGCCGCTCAGCTTCTGTTGAGGTGTACCTTCCGCTATCTGAGGGGGGTCGGTTTGGTTCAATATGACTTACTTAGAGCTTTGGAAAACTGACTCTAACAACCTCAGGAGGGAGAATTTGGGATTTCATAGGTAAACTAGTTTGCATTAGAGAGGTTCCTGCTAAAATTTAACAGCTTTCTATTCATAGTTTTCAGTTTGAATTAGAGAGCAACTTTACTCATATTTTCAATACATTTACAGCGGTCTCTAGTCGCAATGAATGCCTTGGTTCTCTGGGGACAAAAAGCTCTGGTGCACCAGTTTCAGGAACTAAAACTGAACCAGATCAGAGCTCATTTGGAGATATTTGGACATCTCTCCTCTGATTGGCTAACAGCAAGGCAAATCTGACTCTGTTTACTCAGCAGCATTGATGTTTTATCTCCACCAGTGACACAAGCCTGAAGGAGTTCTGCTGTGCGGTGGAGTTGCTAATGCTAACTGTTAGCATTTACTAGCCGAGACGTCCTCTGCTGTTTCCTGGACGCTAAACCAACAACAGCCTGCCCCGTAGTGAGTCCAGTGGGCGAGTCCTGTTAAGTGACAGTGTGACGTATGTAATGCCCAGAAATGGTCGTTTTTTGTCTACAGACTGACGTACATGCCATCGGTCGGCTGCAGACATGAATCTGCCTCAGTGTGTCTGTTCATCTTCCAAGTTGCAGGAAAAGATTTGACGCTGCATGTTTACACTCAGATTGTCAAGACTTCAACATCACGTTCCCTTCTCAAGGTCCTTCTGTGCCAAGCCTGCCTGATTATCTAGGCCGGACTGGACTGTTATAAGAGTGACTGTTTTCAGCTCATATGAGTTAATCATTCGTGAAATGGAATAATAATAATGTCTTCATTAATCTGTGCTTAAATCAATAAGGTTGATTGATCTGTGCTTGAATTACTGAAAATTTGAAATGAATTATTACATTGAATGGTTTATATATATATGATAATCAGTAATGTTTGATATGACAAGGCAATCATCAGCTACACTCAGACACAAGGTTCATTAGAGATAAATTAAAGTTAAGTTAAACTCATGACACGTAGATATTTCCTTACCCCAAATCAGAGCATCTGGTATCTGAAAGAAGGCACAATGTTCTGAGGTTTTCTTGGTAATATCCCTTAACATGGCACGTTCCGATTGGACAAGAATTCATAATATGAGAATATTAAAACAGAGCTCACTTCATGGTGAGTCAGTTCTAGAGAAAGCTATGGACCGGCCGTCTGGAGCGAAACCTCTTTAACCCAGAGCAATTTTGGCAAGCTGCCAAAACCCTGCTAAAAGCTGCCTACCACTGACACAGCAAGCCCCTAAGAGTCCTTCTGGAAGCAAACGGTTCCATCCATCTGTTGTGACTCGTAAACATCTCTGGACGGGAGAGTCGGTACTGCGGTTATTCTACAAACCTCGGTGCCCCGAGGTCATCCGACCTTACTGACCTCTGGATCCGCGAAGGAAGAGGGTCTTCCCAAAAGAGTGAGGTAGACGCAGCATGAATCGTGCCTGATGTGGTTTTGATAAGAATCAACTTCCTAGTTAATGCAAACCAAATTCTTCCTTTTTACACCCAGAACTCAGTTCTTCTAGATACAAAAGTTCTGTTAACCTCACATTCACATATAGTCACCATACATGACATCCCATCCACCTAGATCCGTCCATCACAGTAAATATTAGTTAGCTTGTCACATTTTTTTATTTTTTGGGAAATAAATTCTTACTTTTTGCAAACCTGACTCTCTTCTTGAATCGATACGAAGTGCCTACATACAATACATACAATCCCTACATACTACATACAATCCCTGAGTAAACATAAACATTTGTTAAACATTAAAGACCAACCAGACTGGATTTCCATATTTATATGGACATTCACATCACATTGGTCAAAGTGTAGGGTAGTATATTAAGCTTTAAAAGCACCCAAATACATACAATAATTACCACATTACACGTAGATCTGTCAGAATTTTCTAATCCTAAAGTTTCACCGTCTGTTTTCTATCAGAATCTGATGCAGGAGGTTGGTTCATGTTCAGCCTGCATGAAAACTGATAATAATCAGAAATAATCATCACAAAAAAATGGTTTTTCAGCTAAGTTGAGCCTTTAAAAGCTTCTTAAATGAGTTAAATGAAGTAAAGAAGTCCAGTTGCCTTTTTCTTAACCTAGCAGGTTTAACGACTCAGACTACCGAGAAACTTCACCAGCATCTGTGAAATGAATTTTTATGTCACACAGTAGAGCATATTTGTCTTGATCTCATCTTTATTTCTAGTTATTTATCCTTTCTTGTTTTTTTTTATTAACATCCGTTGTTTCTGTTTGCGCTGCCTTGGCACAAATGCAAATATCCTCAGAACTGTTTCTTCTTTCTTCATTGCATGTCAGTGAAAACAGTGTTTCAATAACTCAAACAAAGAAAGATAATGAAAGCTGGATGCTACATGGCACCCAGAGCTCGATGTGTTTCACCGGAGCCATTGTTCAGCATGGGCGAACCCTGACGCTGATGCTGGTGGGGTGTTGTTGATGATCAGCCCACTTTTCCTTTTGTTTAAATCTAAATCTGAGGGATGACGTGAAATCTACTCAGAAAGTGTGTTTGAATGGGGAGTGTGGAGGTTGTCATGTTCCTTTAAAACCAGTTTAATCATGGTATCACTTTCACAGGAACACAAAACGACTTGAATAATCACGATGGAACCCATCGACACCTAATTGGTTTTCTAATCAGATGCTTCCTTATCCAGATAACGTTACCTAATTACAAACAGCAGTGTGGTCATTTTCTAATCAGTCTTGCACATGTTTGATTTTCAATACAATCCATCATTAGCATGATGATTACCACGACACCGGCACTGAGAGCCTTGGAAGTGTAATCTGTTTTCTATTCATTGTGCGTGCAGCAAACTGTTGCTCTGAACTGCTGACAGACATCTTCTAAACTCCATGTTCCTCCCACTTTTCTTCTCCTAGACAGACTTGCAGACTTAAAGATCCTGTTCAACGAAGGAAAAAAATCTTGCTTCAGCTCAATATTTAGCCCCGCCTTTTTCTATTAGCATACGTGTCAAACAAGCCCTCCAGTGTGCCCCACAGTTCTGGAGATCATCTAGTCTCGCCAAATCAGCCATAGTTTGATCTGTGTTGGAGTGAGAAGACATTGTCCCTTACTCACGATGTTTATGTTCTCCTTTTGCACATCTGTCTGCCTTCCAGAAGAGTTCCAGAACTTTGTTCGAAGGCTTCCTACGTTCTACGCCCTGAACACGTCCGCCATCCTGTATTTCTGGAAGATGGAGCCGTCCGTTCACCAGCGCTACAAACAGCTGGAGCTCAGCACACAGCAGCTCCTGAGCAAGGCACGGCGCATTGTCAACAAGCTCTTCACCCTCAGCAAGAGGTGTCAAACTCAGCCCAAAATTATCATGCTGCGGGAGAGGTGAGAAACGGATAAGTTCCCCCGCCAACGTTCTTGTTGACAGGGGTGTAGATGTGCCTGTGTGCCGCCGTGCTTCGAGTGGTAGTTTTCGTTTAGCGTTTGTTCTTTCAGGTCCTTTTAACGTGCAGCACAGTGTTATCACCAGAACGAGGCTTCCTATTAAAAGAGCACACACACACACACACGCACGCACGCACGCACGCACTCACACACACACACACACACACACACACACACACACACACACACACACACACACACACACACACACACACACACACACACACACACACACACACACACACAATACATCCTACAGTGTCACACCTGATCACTAGGTTGCATTACCAGCCAAAGCTGTCTTTACTTCCTGGAAACCAAAACTGTTCTTCTGTGAAATTACAGTTTGCAGTTTGAGAGAATTACTAAATCTCTGAGAGATGCGCCTGAGTGTAAACTACACTGACTTCATGCAGTACAGGTGTTAATGGCTCCTAAACACTCCCAAGGCAGTCATTCTAACTGTTCTCATGTGAAAAGTGAGGAAAAGTAAAAGTATTAATAAGTAAATGCGGAAATAAATAATTATTTATTTATTGTAAATTTCGGCTGGATGACTCCTCCAAACTCGGGCACGAGAGCCAATCGGTGATAGACACACACACACTTTTATTGATGATTAATGGGCTCGACACACGGGAGGGGACATTGCCTCTCCTCCATTCATTTTCAATGAGACATGCACGACAAAGCGATAATTGCAGGTTACCCTCCTACTAAGCGAAACGCGAAAAACCTGCGTGTGAAATTTTGCGCTCGTGCACGTGTCATTCACAGGCGACCCAGCGACGCGATCCCAGAAAGTTGAAATATTTTCAACTTTTCATCGCTGTCGCTCGGACGAGGACCAATCAAAGGAGGCTTCATTCACTGACCAATGAGCGGACAGGATGCTCCGTACACCTCCGAGCAAACATGGAGGAGAAGTTGATCCTTGATGTGACGGATTTCCCAGAACTGTACAATCTTTCTACCAAAGAATATAGAGATATTCACAAAAAAACAAGCGGTGTGGGAAATTGTTGGTGCCAGAAGTAACACATCAGGTAAGTGTACTTTACAAATGCAAAACCTTTTTGTAAGTTAATCTAGTGCAATAGCAAACCTAACGAAAAACGTTTATGTATTTAACATCATATCTACCGCCTTTTAAATTCTGAACCGCTTAAATAACGTTAATTCCCTCCAACTTGACGCAGCCAATCAAAACAACGGAAGATTTGATTTCGCCATGGAACAGAACGCGTCGACGTTTTTGCCGCTGGCCGCTGCTGTACGTCGCCTCCTGTGTGTCAGGTCATAAAAGCAACAGCGCAGAATTTCGATGATTGAGATCGCTTGTCGCCTCCCATGTGTCGAGCCCATAACTGCTTTTATTTTATTCAGTCTTACTGTTTTCCTGTCTGTCTGCACCATTAACGTTCTGAACACCAGCAGCAGTTAGTCTTTTTGTTTGTTTTTTTCTTTGCAAACAACGTATCATAGCTGGGGGGCGTAAAACATGATTTATATAAAAAAAGAGTTTTCAAAGGCCATCCAGGAAATTTCAAACTCTGCATTTTCTTTGTTTTAATGAGACTGGCTCTTTTAAATAGTGGCATTCCTTTAAAAGGTTATCATTCAATTAAGCTATGTGAAACGATAAAAGGGAAGCTGAGATTTTGATCTTGTTTTACGTATTCTGAGATGTTCCAGTTAAGCTTTAACCTACAGGCATGTGGACCACGTCTATCTCCCTAAGAGTGTGTGCAACAAAGGCTTCAAATTCTCAAATTGAAGAAAGTGTGAGTGAGCGAGAAATGCAAAATGTAAGAAGCATTGGAGCTGGGGTCGGAGTTTGGCTCCCGGAAGAAATAACAACAGAGCAACATTGTCACCTCTGTGCTTCACGCTGGACTCCCTTCAGGAGACGAAGGGCAAGCAGCTCCTAAGTGATTTTATTTCAGAGGCAGTTTGAGCACATACTATGAACGATTCTTTTAAGGTCTGCAAAGAACTATTGAAACCAATCTACTTAAGTCTACTTTTCAGAACACTGTAATGCTAAATAGTTATTTTTTACAACACTGAGTCAGCAGAAATAATTATTTGTTCAAGGTGATGTACGAAATGTGCAACAAGGTGGTAAAAGAATTCTCCAGAGGTTCAGGTCCACGTTGACACATGATGAGAACGTCCCGTTCCATCCCCTTCCAAAGGTTCTGAACTGGACTGAGATCTGGTGACTGGGGAGGCTGTCCAGTGAACTCAGTCAGAAACCAGTTAGAGATGATCTGAGCTTCGTGACATGATGCATGATCGTGCTGGAAGTAGTCCAGTCCAACTTCCAAGCAGTAGTCAGAACTTTATTTATTTATGTTACAAACCCTAGATGGTAGCCAGTTGTGGTAGGAGGGGTAACGTGAGGTGAGTACAAATAAAAATGTATTTTATTAACAAAGAGTAAACACAAATACTGAGTCCTTGACTGGAATAATAACGAAACAAATTTAGTCTGTGAAAACAAACAAAGGCGACGGGGCAGAAATCAAAACACCTGGGGCAAAAAGCCTCAGGGAAGAAACAATGAAGATACTTTAACAAACGAAAAATGCCGGAGTTAAATAACCAGAAAACAACAAATCTCGACGGCTAAACTTTATTCTAATTACCAAAAAGTAAAACCAAGCTCTAAAGCGGAAAACGGAACAGAAATTCAAGCTTTAAGCGCAGACAAAAAGGATCACGAAACGAAAACGGCCATTGAACAAAAGGATTTTACCAAAAATAACTTCTTATCTTTCAACCGAATTATCAAAGTTCTTAATCCACGACGAAACCGTTTAATACAGAGATGCAAGGACCGAGGAGAGAAGGACAGGGTGTGAAGCTGCGGTTCTTTCCCTGAGAACTGCAGCTGAGCCGGCGAATGCAGGCCGAGGGGGAAACAGGCCCGACTGAGGACCTGTCCAAGGTCCTGAACTGGAAACGGAGCAGAGCTGGGCCTTTCAGGGAATGTGAATCCAGCATCCGTAACAATTTAGTTTATGCATTGTTATGTTAAGCTGCAATAGTAAATATGGAAAGCAAATTTGCTTAAAAGATTTTTTTCATGCCTCTTAACAACTTTCTAACACAGTATAGCTATAAATATATTGTGGCAATAAAAAGAACAAAATAATTATAATAAAGTGGTTCTCTCGCATCTGTCTAAATACCCCCACCAATAACCCCGGTTTCACACTGCAAGCATCAGCGGAACGGAACGGCAGTGAAGTGGCACCGCTTCAAATAGAATCCAGTTATAGTCTATGGAGTGTTTCAAACCAGCCGCGACGCGGCAATTTTCAGACGCGTCCCAGAAGCGGCATGCCACGCCATGCCACTAAAGGTAGGATCGAGTTCTATTTTTTCCGCGAGCCGCTTCTGGGACACACCAATTTCCGCAGTTCACATAGTGCGAGACAGGAAACCACACACGGTTTCAGTGTAAAATCCCCGGTTATTTTCAAAATAAAATGCAACATTGCGATGTTATATATAACCTACATCTGCACGTGCGACCGAACGGCTTTGTTTACCACCAGTTTCTTTCGAGAAGTGCAACGGTGCTATTCCTCGCGGGGGTTGTGATCGCTCGATGAGGAAGGATGGCGGAAATCTCGAGGGAATTCGTTGTCTCGCGAGGAAGGCGTTGGAAGTCTCGAGGGATTTTAGAATCTGGCGAGTACAGCGAGGCGCAGCGAGGAAGCCGTGCCGCGGCCAAGACTCTCCCGTGTGAAAAGGACCGCTTTGAAGTTTGTGAGTGAGCCGCTGCGCTGCTGTTCTGTTCCACTGATGTTTGCAGTGTGAAACGGGGATAACCCTAACCAGGCAGTTCTTGGTCTGGTCAAACCACCACACTTCCCTGGGTCCTCCATTCATTTATTCAGTTACTGAAAACTAGATACCTGCTTAAAAATGTATTTTGTAATGTATTCCATTACTTTGCCTAATCCTGGTACTGTATTCTAAATACTTGAAATACTTTCCCTTAAAATCAGCATTTAAGTCTATTAAATGTCACAGTGTGCGCTGGTAGATACTGCCGCAGGAAAACAGAGGGCATGTTTATGCTAAACAATATGAACTAACTGGGAAAATAAAACTGTTTAATTATTTTTGTTTATTTATGAAAGTGTCAACAGATTCTGCAAATCCTTCCTGCTACTTCTTACTTTTCATTTGCAGCCGACGTGATTATTGACCTCGGCAGGAATAATTGTTATTAAGTCATTTGCAACCAAAATGCCACTAGTTCCCATTCACTTCATTTTTTATGCTCGGAAAAAGCAAACGGACTGCTGCCGGACCAGGAGAATTACTGCGCTGGTTACAAAATGCTTTTTTTCTCACTTATCTAACTCTGGGAAATGTGGTAATAGACAACTTTTCACTTTGGGGTGGAAAATCCCTTTAAGGTGTTTCTTCAGATAATAATAATAATATAATAATAATAAGATTTTATTTGTAACGCACTTTACATTTCAAAGAAATCGCAAAGTGCTACAGTAGGAAATCAGAAACAATGTATGGAATAATTAAAAACAATGAATAAAAGCAAATAAAAAATGCATAGAACTATACAATGCTAAGTTAACACATGGTAAAACAACAGCAATACCAATCAGTTTGGAAAAGCTTGTGTAAATAAAAATGTCTTCAGATGTTTTTTTTTTAAACTTTCAACACTCTGAAGTGCTCTCAATGTTTCAGGGAGTGTGTTCCACAGGCGTGGGGCTGCTGCTCGAAAAGCTCGATCTCCCGTGGTATTAAGTTTTGTTCTGGGCCGTTGCAGGAATTGAGAATTTCTAAAGCGAAGATTTCCTGAGGTGATGTGGATAGTAAGGAGCTCTTTAAGATAAATAGGAGCATTTCCGTGGATACACTGATAGGTAAGGAGACCTAGTTTGTTTTTAATT